CTTGGAGAATACATCTAATATTTAATATTGTCATGGAACATGGCTGTAGAAAAGAATTTTGGGCCTTTGGGCCATCTCAATATCTGTACTACAGCACCAGTGTAGCACAATAGCTTGGAGCAACATTCCTCACCTCAGTTGCAGCATCCACCTCACATGAATGCAACCAAACTCAGTTTCAACAGTAGGCTACGACAGGAACCCAGCCCTATCAACAGCACATTTCTAGTAACCACATTCCAAAGCTATCATCTCAATGTTCTCCAGTCCTAATGGCCACTGCTACCCCGCTGAAGCATAGATAGTGGCCCTCCTAAACACATCCGATCATAGAAACCAGAGTCGGGCACCCTTTGTGTAGTAGAACACTCAAAAAACATAATCTCCTAGTCAAGGAAGAGTCAAAGTTCCCTTGCAGGTTATCCATCTGTTAAACAAAGTTTTTAACAAATTTATAAATTTTGAATTCTTCTTTTTACACGTATGTGGCACAAATCTAATCCTCTAGGTAATTCTTTGGCTGGGGAGGGGTTTGTTAGATGCCATATACTTGTAGTTAGCATGGAAGAGTCTTCACACTCCCCTCAAAGGAATCTCTTCAAGCATAAGTTTAACCTTTTGTACTTACAGATTGTTTTATACCCTTATATATGTATATCTCATAATTATTGGGATCAAGAGCTGCATCAGCATTGGGAGCAAAGGATCGTGGAATGCTAGAAGATCCTTACAGTTGGGAACATCGTCAGTACAATGCATATGTTAGGGGTCTAGATCCCCAAATGTATAGTCTAGGACTATATATACTTTTTTAAAGGGGATCTCTTTGTTCATAGCGAGCAAGCAATGCAACCATATTAAAGTATAGCTGTGCTACTAGTTAGATATAAATTAAGAAAATTTTCAATTTGGTTATTATCTTGGTATTTAAGGTTATGAAGAGATCCCTACGAGTTGAAATCCCTAACAGCGGCGATCAAGCTCCCAAAATTTAAAATTGAAATCCCTTGAAGATCCCTTTCCTTGAGCGTTGGAGATCTCAAAATTTAAAATTATATCCCTTGAAGTTCCCAGCAGGTATGGTATATCTTACAGAAATCAACGAAAGAATGTTAACAGACCAAAAAAAATGAAATTATTCCCTCAACATCTGTGGCCAATAGGAGTTCAGGCTTCAATACCTTGACTGCCCCAAGGTCTCCCTCCAAATACCAAAATGCAGTTCACATATGTATTTTCATGAAGAGATTCAAAACTTCCAAGGAAGAAATATCATCTTCAATGGTGAAAATAGCAGCTAAATACTTTATGAGATCAAGTAATACAAACACGATCCTCCTTATAGCATATCTACTAGTTGTATTCACTCAATTAACGGTATACAGAGTCAATGCTCCAAAACATAAGGCACAAGGTTTAACTGACGTACTACGTGATGCAAATTGTATAAATCATAATATGGTATCATAATATCATCATACAAAGTACAACATGGAAAAACATTAGTATGCTATGGCAGACAGAAGTGCCCTAAAGCAGACTTTTTAAAAATTGATACAAGTTTACAATGAAAACAGTTTCAAATTGATACAAGTTTACAATGGAAACAGTTGAAATGCTGTGTTCTGAAATGGCACCCGTGCTAATAAATGCTAATCAAACTGCCAACCAGAAGTTAGCAGATTTCAACAAATTTCGCTCTAGAAAATAATCCGGTAGCAGCTTCCACACCCCCCATTCAGGTAGAATCAACAATAAAACCCCACACAAAATCAAATCACGACTATGAAAATAAGGGGGACCAGGAAAGAATCAAGAACTGAGAAAGAGAAAGGCACAAAGCGAAGAAGTGAAATCACTCCAAAGAAAACCAAGGAAACATGTATATTTACCACAAATCTTGATAGGTGCCTCCAATTCTAAGAGATTCGGTTGACCGATGAAGATCTCCTTAGAAGTCATGCATAGCTTCCTAATCTCAGACTCGGTGAGCTGAACCTGCTTAGGAGTCCTGCTGTTCTTCGCGTCCAGAAGCCGTCGGATTATGTCGTCCAGTTCCCCCTGCTCCATCAGCCACCTCACAAACCCAACCGAACCCTAATCCTGTCCTAATCAACTCCCGAAAACAATAACCCAAAGCATCTACCGCGTGCAACAGATACGCTCACACAGAATTGGTTTGGTTGACGCTCCAAATGACCTCCAGTTACCAAAACTCCACTACTTTGTTTGGATAAGTTTAGCTATAAATAACATGGATAAATAACATATATTTGTAGTTGTACTGCTATGGATGACTGTATAGCGGCCATTAATGGTTTCAAAAAGAGGAAAATGGGCACCGGCTTTGCCTTTCAACGGCCGGCCCCCTGGCTTCTTCTGCAATAACTTCAATCAATAATAACACAACACCTGCACCGAGGAAAGGGAGGGAGGGAGGGAGGGAGGGAGGAAGCGCACGTAACGTAGCATTATCGCGCCCCGCCTTCATTAAATGCTTGGCCTGCCCTAAATCGGATGGATCGATATTGGCATTGCATCGTGTGTGCACGGGCGGGTAAATTTTTGAAGGCATCTTTTATTTTATTTTTTGTCTTTTATTGGTAGAAATGAAACTCAACAAATGTATTATTGTGGTGCTACATTATTTTTTGAATTTATGACAACTTGAAACCATTGAAAACTTTATCTCATTCCTAAAAAACGTACCTGAGGTAAGAATGGAAAGGGTTCTACACCTCGGAGCTAAAGATTGAAATGTAAAGCCCCCCACCTAGTCATGAAGAGGCATTTTATAATGCATATTTTCTTGCATTTTACTCTCGATAAAATATGATATAAATTATTGTTTTCATTTTTTAACATTTTAATATTGTTCATTTTTCAAGCAAAGAGAGTTGTAATTTTTCATTTTTTAATATTTTAATATTTTTCATTTTCCAAGCATAGGGAGTTGTAATTTTAGCATTTTAAATGTGAGATTTTGATTTCAATTTTCTATAGGATTTAATATAAGTGTATTTTGTCAGGGGATTGTATATTTATAAAAGTATTCACTTTTGGTACAAAGAAGTCATAACCACTCATAGCCATCGTATATAAAATCTGACGGCTTAAAGTGTGTCACATAGTTTGAGAAACTGAAGTTTTGAACTTTGTTCTCCCGGCCACCCAAATTTACATCTAAGAGTCAATAATTATTGTGACTTCCTTATTCTAAGTAAATGGGCCCATTGTATATATTTTATTTTATTAATACCAAATAATAGTATTAAAGATCCATAATTAATATAGTTAGATGATATATAACCTCGTTATCGATAGCATGTACTAAGCATATTTATATATCGCAGGGAAACTAACTTCAATATTCCTTAGTTTTTTGTAGTATTTATGAAAGGGATTGTATACAATGGGACCATTTACCTTTGATACAATGTAGTTACAACTCTTTACAACCATTTGATGTGAAATTTGATAGCTTGAATGTGTCATAGAATTTGAGAAAATTTCTTTTGAAGTTTGAGCTTGGTCAATGAAATAATTGCATCCAATCAATTTCACATCCAATGGCCATGATTATTGTGACCACCTTATATCAAAGGTAAATGGCCTTATTATATACTTTCTTTTTATGAAATGATTCTTATTTCTCATTCTCAAGTCTCTTTTTCTTATTTTCTCAAAATACTCCCACTTTGGAACTCCAAGTATCGAGCCATTATATTTTTATTTTTTTGTTTAAGTGATACATGGATTTGGAACATGAAATTTTGAATAGATTCTTTTTAGGAATTAAGTGGTTCGAAACTTTGAGATCCAATCAACTTATTTGTGCAAAAAAAGACAGACAATTGCCCCTATTTCGGCCTTCAAGTTATGAATTGAGGATACTTATCTTTTGAGTAAATAAGCAGCTCATAATTTCATTTTCCGAACTACAAAAGATCGTTTCAAGAACTTCAAGTTCCACATTGATATGTCACTTTTAAAAAAAAAGATATCAGCTTGGAACTTAGTGTTCTAAACCAAAGGTATTTTGGAAAAATTGAAATAATCAATCTAAAAATTATATATCATCAAAATAATTAAAATCAAATAATTGTGATAGGAATCATATCCGACAAGGCCTAGGAATTATAGTCCTAGGGGTCGAGTGGTTAAAGAAATAAGAAAGAGGGGGAAGAAAGAAGAAAAAAATAAGAATGAGTTAATGAGAGCGTGGTTTCGAGGTGAGAAGAAGAAGAAGATAAAATAAAAGAAGCAATGAGGTGACCCAAAGAAAATTGGACAGCCCCCGGTGCAACATCTCCTAAGAGATATTACTGGAGATGAGAAAAAGCACCAAGCTTGAAGCCTTGGTACCCGAAAGATTTGGAAAGTAGAATTATAGAACTGAGCTTATAACTATGTCACTAAACCAAATAGCCCCCTAAAAGTGATCAAGGGTTAGAAGAAGGTGAAAGAGAAAGAGAGAAAGAAAGAGAGAGAGAGAGAGAGAGATGAAAGCCTCTCTTACAACCCAGGCATTGTGTGACTCGGTGATTAGAGTAGTGGAAGGGTTAACACTCTAAAGATGGAAGGGTTAGAACCAATGGTTTAAAAAACGGATCGGTGACCCGCATCGGGCTTCCAAAAAACCGATCCGGATCGGCGAATCTGCGATCCGGATCTGGAATCGGGTGAATCGGTCAGAATAAAGCTTCAAAAAAATCCAAAAAAATTATTAAAATTCATTATAAATATTGTTTTTTAGGAATTCAATAAGAAATGAGGGTACTCCATTAAAAATTTTCATGTTTTTGAATGAATATGCGAATATTGATATGTT